ATGATTCTATGATTCTATGATTCTATGATTCTATGACACGCCAAAATTAATAGCTGTAATCTTGCAACCTTTTATAAAGGATTTAAATTTCAAAAGTGAAAGTTATTTGTAAAGTTTTTGTATGTTTTTCTCATACTCTGCCCTGCTTTAGTTTTACTATTGCACAGCAGCCCTCAATGCAGCTCTTTGAAATAAAGAAGAGTGAAAAATCACCGTACACCAGGAGCGACACTGAGGAGCTGACGAATTTCCATGCTGCAGGCATTGGGCAGCCTAATCCTGCTTCTGCCGAAGACAAAAAGGGTTTTGCCACCGGTGTCACTGGCAGCAAGATCAAGCTGCTCGTGGCAGCAAGGTTTCACAAACCAGCTAGGTGGTATGATAAAGACTCTGTGACACAATGATCTTACTGTACTTAGCAGGGACAAAAAAACCCACTCAATTTAATGTACCAAACCATTTCAGCCACTATTTTTGCCTTTTGCTGTCGCACAGGTCTTCTGGAAATTATTTAAAATAATGTATAAATATTAAATACAAAATGTCAATTTTACATCCTGCTGATTTCAGCTGAAGTTCTACGTAAGGAACAAAAAAACCCACCATAAAATCTAATCAATAATGTCAAAATACACAGCCAAATAATTGACCTTCTATGTGCTGACCAGTAGTCTTGACAATACTTGTTTCAAACAACACAAGTTAGGAGTAATTGCAAAAGGAACAATCTTTCTATAATCAAACCAATGTAGGGACATTGTTGGTGGCTTACAGCACCTTTAGGGAGGCACTGACTCTTCTTCCTACTTTTGTATAAATGCGGAGGCATAAGCATGACCCTGTCTTATTCTTGCTCCGTTGGAGAGGTTACACAGAGGGTAGGGGTGCTGGGCTCCCAGAAGCAGTTTCCTACGAGACTGGATCTCGCATGCATTTGCAGCAGCATTGCTGTGTAAGGGCTAGTCACAGTCACAGTCTGGCCCATATAATCCATTAACCCAACCAGAGATCAATTCCTGGAAGAAGTCTATCCCATTTTTTAAGAATTACTTTGTCGCCAGCATTGTAAATCTAGCAATAAACTGTTGCGAAACTCTATCCTCTTTCACATTTAAAAGAGCTTTGCAGAAAATGGGTCTTGGAGGATAGGGAGACACAGGGACATCTGTATCCACGTATTTCAAAGAGGAGCTTTTCTACCTGGGACTAAGAACACATTTTTGTATTTTTGAATGTTTATGTAACTAGTATATTTTTAGAATATTATTTTTACCATTATTGCGATAAACCATAGCTTTGTGTTGTCACTTCCAAAAAATATAGGCAGGAATATCTTTGTCATAGTTACATATTATCATCAGACATACATATTTATAACTCTCCATTTCCTTGAATGTTCCACATAAATAGATGCTCAGTGCTTGTCATGTTACATGTCTTGCAGATAGCAAGAACAAAAGAAAAACAACAAAGAAACAATACCAAAAATAATTTTTAAAAATCTAAGCTGAAAACGTAAAAGATAAATGTTCAGGCATTCACTGGTAACAACCACAAATTTGCAGGCAGTGAAACTGAGCTCTGTTTTGCTTTCCTCACGCTTATGAATGCAATATGATAGATGTCATGTGAATGGGGAGAAAATGATTTAAATCTAATATTATTCTTTGTGTAAGTGTATTTCATATTGATAGACTAATTAAAAAAACAGTCACCTTTACCTTTATAATAAAGTTCTAGCATGCAGGAGCTCTAGTGAGAAACTAACCTTAATTTCTTTGCCCCAGTCACATGAACCTGGTCAGGGTCACCAACAGTTATATATACCCTGTCATATGGCACAAGGGTCAGTATCTACTAATTCCAGTGGCTACTGTTACAATATTCAACCACCAAAAGTTTCAGATCACAAGTTGAAAGTTTGAGACATTTATGAGTGAGAACAGAGACTCCTAATTTAAAACGTGTGTGACCTCAATATAGCATTTGGGGGTTCAGAATGTTCTTATGTACTTTGCCTAATACTGCAGTTTTACAATTCTCCCTCACTTCCAGCCGTAAAACTATGGATTGATTTACCTTATCTGTAAATTATGAAGAATAGATCTCTGAAAAAAAGCAAATTTCCATGACTATTTGAACCAGTAACAGGCAAAACAGTTTTCCTTAATGCAAAAGCAGAATAAAAAGAACCTGCGTCTAACCCTTAATTCCAGCTGTAATTTAAGCATTTTTCACAAATGTGTATATTTTTCAGAAAGTACTATAAATCAGAATGATTCTGTACTTGTCAATGATAACTCTGTTTCTGTAAAATAATCTTATAATGGGACACCAGAATAATCTATCTTAATCAAAGACAGATTTATATCCATACAGTCCAGTTATTCACAGACTGTAACAAAACATATAAAAATGTAGATCTGACATCATTGTAAGCCTTGCATGCACAATTGCCTTCTTCACAATGAAAAACTATCACCTCCTCCTGCTCCCATTGAAATCAGGGACACGTTCCCATTTACATCACTCGCGACTGGATGAGAGATCAAAACTAGTGTCCAGCTTTTGAAAACTCCTTAAAAACAGGTATCGTATGTATCTGACAACTCTGATTGTTCCACAACTTATTGGAAATATCACTTTTTTCTTCATAATTAGCCCAAGGAATTAAAACAAAACTCAGTAAAGTATGGACATGCACAGTATTTTCCATAATTTCCATAATTTCATCCACAAGTTTTTCCATAATTACAGCTCAGAGTACAAGAATCCAACTCAGAAACCTGGTGCATCTAACAATTTTCATTAGGAAATTACTTAATAAATGGCAGTATAAAATAGGAATGGAAGACCTGCACGCTGTGATATATTTCATTTTCTCTGGTGGGAATTAGTATGTTACTGATGAGTGATATTTGGAGCAAAATCTTTATTTAATCATGTTAACTCTTTCTGAAGCCAGAACTCAGGGCACCTACAATAACTACAAAAACTGTGTAATCAAACATAACCAAATCTTCAGCGCTTATACAGCCAAAATATCCATTATTTACATGACGATTTTGCCTATGGCTCTCACTCATAATGTTTCAGCAGCTCTTTTGATAGGAGCAATATTAATAAATGAACTGACGATGAAATCATTAAAGAAACAAAGTAACATATTTTTAATAGTCTGCAAAAGTTTAATGCAGATAACTTAGTTACCTAGTTATGTTTTTATATCAATGTCAATGAAATTTCCAAATAGTAAGGTAGTCAAGAGAAACTTGAATTCTTTATATGGATTCTGCTTCAGATAACAACAGTCACATTTTATTCGAAGTATAGAAAACAACAATAAAGTTTTAGTGAGACAGAACAGTGCAATAACTCAAGAAAATTAATGCCACGAGCAGTTTTTCCTCTCTTTTTGACTGCAATGGTCAACAAAATAAATGAAGAACAACAAGAGAGAATCAATGCAAAGGCCTAGAGAGTAACTCCCATTTTTTAAACTATTAATTTTGTGCCTGGTGTCAAAGGCAGTGACAGTAAGCACTGAATAAATACAAAACTTCTTTGGGATTGCCGTTTTTTTCAAGATGAAAAATGCACTGGCTTGGAATGTTTATTTGAACCAGCTGTATGGTATTACTATAGAGAGTCAGGAAGTTAATATATTCTTTGGAAGTCCAGTATCATAGTAAGTTATTCTAGCAGCCATAGTAAATGAGCAGAGGACATGCAATATGATTTGGCAGCCCAAGAGCAGACACTGCATATGCTCCTGAATTCAAGCTACACAGCAGCTGTAAGTTACCAGCACTGGGCCTTGCTCATAACTAGAAGAGTAACTGGTAGAAAGAGGGCAGAATCAGAATTAATATCAACATTTCCTAGTACACGTGATGGGACTGATCCTCTCTGAAATTAACAGAACAAAATCTTCTGACTGAAATCTCTCATGTGACAGGATCAGGCTCATCACGTACTACACCTCTTTTCGTTCATTATAGTATTTTATTCTGGGCATTTGTCTCCTATGATTTATGCAGCCATGTCCTCATTGCTATAGTGCTGGTGATACAGCAACATGTTGTGATATGAAGCACTGGAAAATCAAAGAAATCTCTATTTTGCCAGAAATTTCCATGGCAAGCTGATGTGCACAGGTTGTAGGGAAGGAAGGGTATATATTCAGATATTCTGGTTAAGAACAGCCATGAAATCTGTTTATATTCTGAATCTCTCTCATAAAACTATTAATGGTGAAATCCTTCATACCACTACAATCAATCTCCCTGTAACTATTTAATAGCTATGCTGAGGCAAATGAAATTATTCTCGTTATCAGGGATAAAATACAACACATTTTGCAATCTATCAAGTTTCTGTTCACCCCCAGCCATGAAATCTGTTTATATTCTGAATCTCTCTCATAAAACTATTAATGGTGAAATCCTTCATACCACTACAATCAATCTCCCTGTAACTATTTAATAGCTATGCTGAGGCAAATGAAATTATTCTCGTTATCAGGGATAAAATACAACACATTTTGCAATCTATCAAGTAGAAGATCACTTACTTGTACTATTACTGTCTAAAGATGAACTTCAGTAATATTAATTTTATGATATGAAGTTTAAAGTAAATTAATTTAAAGTTAGGGCTGAATTTCAAGGCTAAGATGTATATTTTTATGGCAAGACAATGCAGGAATGTAAGTTATGACACTGCAACATCTAGGAATAATAGGGTAAGTTAAAGTTACCATAACAGATGTTTTGATTTTAAGTCTGCATTCCCTTACTCTGGCTAATGTTGTCACAATCTTCTGGTTGCCTAAATATGGATTATTGTTATCAGCTATATCCCATCATCCTTAGGCAACTGTCCCAAATAGGAAAAGAGAAACTTTCTTTGAGTGACAGATGCAGAATAGTGACAGATGCACAATTCACCATCTTTTATCCTCTGTCTGCCATGTAAAATACAATGTGGAACAGTTCTGGAACACTTTTTCTTTGTAGACAAGGACAAAAGCCTCTTCCAGAAAATACCACTTTTACCTAACTTTTTTGCCTTCATAGAGCAATACAGATGTTAAAAATTAACTGAAATCTTAGAACGTGTAAAGAATTTGTCTGAATTTATTTATGCTTAAAAATGGTTTATGCTTTAAGCTACTATATCTCCACTTTCTTTAAATTACATAAATAATTTCTTTTCCAAAATATGAACAGAGGCATATCATAGTTTAGTTAATTTAAGTAGTCTATCCATTGAATATAGAAAAATACCAAACTAAGTTATTCACTGGTGTAATTGGCACAGCTACATAGATCCCAACAGGGCCTTACCAGCTTGTGCTAGGAGATACTTTGGCCCATAATATTAGTCTAAT